ATTATTGCAACATAGAATCATGTAAAGAAATGGGAAAAGTTCATACGATGTGCAAGTATACAGTAAGTAAAATTATTCATATACATGATATGTAATATGATTAAATATACATTTAATTAATAGATAACATGATTCTTTTTTTTCGTTTTCTAAATTTAGTCTAATTGTAATGTGATTATTTTAATTATTCTCAGTTAAAGTTTTAAACTTTATTTTAAAAAGCTTTATTATAAGATTAATAACATTGCTCTGTAAGTACACATGCTCTTAAAGTGCATAACAGAGGTTTATTTTTATCGCGTATGTATACTTAATCCTACATTTACATTGCAGTTATCAACGCCGGCGGCAGCGTGCAAGCAATGGAGTAATCAAAGTTTAAATGATGCCGAAAGAAAAATCATGAAAGACGGAATCAATCAAATAAGAAACCAGTTAACATCAGTTGTAAAAAAAAGAGTAAAGGATCCGCAACGGATAGCGATTCATATGCTCGATTTGGTAAAACACAATCAATAATACATTATCTATGATACATTAATGTATTTTTAAACTTTAAAAGTCATAAACGCGTTATTGTAAGGAAGTGTCCATGGTTAATCCAACCAATTCTTTAATCTTTATATATACAGAAACTTTCCATCGCAATCATACAATTTAATTTTATTTTGTACATCTACATTTGTTAGACCATAGTGACCTCTTATTGTATTTCTGCAGTGTGTATTATTTACAATTTACGTAGATATACGAGATCTACAGTTTAACGGCCACTTCCGAACGGCCTTAACTAACATTAAAGGAGTTCTCATGGCAAAATATATACTCTTGATAATTTGCCAATGCCTTCCGAGAAGTAGGGATCGAAAAATCCAACGTTTCTAGTCGATTTGAACTCGGTCTTTGGCACAGAAAGCATATGCACAACAGAAATATAAATATAAAGTTATTACAAATAAATTTGTAATTTGTTATAGAATTTGAAATAGAGTCATATTCATAATTTTACATAATTGTGTAACATACATCTATACAAAATATATACAGAACACACTTAGAATATATTATTATAAAAAAGAATTTTATCTCAAATTCCACTAGAGTTTAATCTTACAACAATTCCGTTTAATATAAATGAAAATATGTTTAATTTTTAATTTCTTAGTCCTGGGATGAAGAACTAGAGACAATTGCACAGAGATGGACCAATCAGTGTATTAAACATTATGACGACTGTAGGAACGTAGGTGAGTAATAATTGATGCAATTACATTTGTATAATCCTGTTAAATATAACACATAATATATGATGATATTTATTACCATAATAAATATTATCGCACAGAAAGATTCGAAGTTACCCAGTATATGGCCTGGAAATCCTCTATGAATGGAAATGAGGTTACTTTAGAAGACTTGATGGAAACAGCGTATAATAATTTAATTGAAGTGGGAAGACGTTATTTTTCCGCATATCCGTAAGTGTTTCAAATATTAGACATTCTAGCATATTTAACACACAGTGTGTTAATGAATATGTATTTTAAACAATAGACTTATAAATTAATTTGTAGTAATTCTTTTGACGTTAAAAATTCTAAATGTTTAAATATCAAGTAAAAAAAGGTATTTGTGTAGAAATTCTATCAATTTAAATAAATGTTTAAAGTACATCTATGCAATATATATTCATTAAATATAAGAAAATTATATAATAACATAATTTTATTTTTACAAAATGATCATGTATTAGAGATATTGTACACACAATAGAAGATTTTACTCATAATCTCTGGGCTAACATGGCGAAGGTCGGGTGCGGACGAATAAAGTTTAAGGAACCAAACGACTTAACTACGCATCTTATAGTTTGTAATTTTGCTCCACGTAAAATATAGAAAAAAATGTATAAAATAACAGAAAGATGTAGATTTGGCCATCCCCCAATGACATAATTTAAAAAATAAAAAGTGACAACATAAAAAATTAAACTTTTTTATGTATTGTTTTATATATCAATATAATATTTCTTTCATATTTAGAACCGGCGAATTAATGAAAATATCATTAACAAATTTTTGGTCAGAAGTGCAGTGTGATGTAGTTTAAAGATAAGAATATCTTTACATAGAAATACCTATTATTGTACTTGTGAGAAAATGAATAAAACTAATCAGCATACAAAATAAAATTTTGCAATGTATAATTTTTCAATGTATGTATAACATTCTTAAGGGTATTATAAATTAAGGAAAGATAGGTAAATATCCTCATATCTTTTCTATCATGTGTTTTTTTAATTTCTATATGGCAAAAAAAGCAGGTTTGGATAAATTAATATATTTTTTATGTAAGTTAAATTAAAGTTAACAGTCTTAAAAATTAAACTTATAATTAGCTAAGATAAGTTAATTGATAATAAAATTAATTAAATTAAAAGTTAACTTATTAAAAAAGTTATAAGTTAAATTTCTTTTATTTCATAATTAGGATTTCTAAATAAAGTTCATAATTAGGATTTCTAAATAAAGTTTCTAAATAAAATATATATTTGCAAGAATCGAAAAACGCCAACACGGTACAAAGCGGATCTTGGTACTTTCATATAAAATTAGTATGAATCTTACAATTTTCGGTTCATATAACACCACGTGGCCGCAAATCGCGTGCTTCTCCGCAGCTCCTCCGTATTTAAATTATCGACAATATCTTTTGTAAATACAACGTCGCAATATGATTTAAGCATTATTGGTCAAAGGTAACTTTCTAAACTTAAATCATAAGAGAATGATCTTTCATTTGAACAAGACGACGGTCATTAAAAAAACGTAAATAAATATTGTATTTAGATATAGAAATATCTTGATCTCGGAATTGTCTTGTAAAAATTATACTATATCCTCAAACAATACAGAACCATTTTTAAATTTGTATTTTTCAGAAAATTTATGTGGCATCTAATGGAACCTCGCTTTATTATTTATTTATATTTACAACTTTATTCAGAAAGCAATTTTAACTAATACTTTTTGTTAATATCTTTTTATAAAACAATAACTGAATGGCTAATATCTTTTGAATGTTGTTTATGGTCAATGACCTTGACACAACATATGTCAAGATCATCGGAATTATTATCCGTAATTATTATATTTATTATCTTTAATGTTGCTCAATACACCAATAAATAAACCTTTCCTAGTTTTTTAAACATGGTATTGTATTATAATACAAAATAAAGACTGTAGAAATATCTAAAGTTCCTAAATAAATTTAAGAGCGTCTTCTACAGTCATGACTGGATCTTGATGTTTAATAATAATTCTGTATAAATTTTTAATGCAAGCAGAGTATAATGATCTACTAGACTTCAAAAAACGTTACTTGTCCGACTTACAATTAGTGTAAGTATTTCGAATATTGGATATTCCAATTAGGCATTTTACATAAATGATTTTAATTATTTATTTAATTAATGAATATGTGTATTAAAGTGTGAAAGGTCTAAATTAATTTGTCTTTTTGACTACGTTAAAATTTCTATATATATGTTAAAATATCGAGAAAAAGTGAGGAAAAGAGAGAAAAGAATATTCATGTAGAAATTCTATCAATTTGAATAATTTTTTAAATTGCATTTCCTTGTCACGTATTTATTAAACTTAAGAAAATTTTTTATCTAATAAAATGATATATAGAAATGAGAAAAGCGTATTTGGAGATTATACTTATAATTTTTGAACTATCGGAACGAAATTCGGGTGCGGACGAATAAAATTCAAGAAACCAAATGGTTTGACCAAGCATTATTTAGTTTGCAACTATAATGTATAAAAAAATGTATGAACTAAAGAAAGGAATTTGGTCATCCCTCAATAATTTAAAAGATGATCTAAAAAATAATACAACATAAAATGAAATAAATTTTTTTGTCAAGACTCTATTTTTTATGAATATAAATGAACATGAATTATGAGGCTTTATTAATTAAATTTATATTAGCAAAGCAATGAAAATAACATAAACATAAATCTTTAATAGAAACTTTGTGGTTTATATTCGGAAAGAATAATTTTACTGAACGATTCTAAATACTGGATTACAGATCTAAAAATATTTTATTGAACTATCAAAATAAT